AATTTTATAGCTGCAAGTTACTTGCTATCTTAGTTTCATATTGTAATTGATTACAGCTGATCAAGGGTTGTGGCCCCTGATACAGTCCGGAACATCTATTTTATATTACTGCTTATTGACACATTTAAGTAGAATAATCAACTAGTTCGCCTGATGACAAGAATATTCCTATTTGTTTTAAGTATCATAAAATTCAAGTTAGTTTCTTTTAATAAATTTAGATATATATTGTGTTTGAAGGGACATCACTCTTCTTGTGTAAGAGAGCTTCAGATATGTTTCTTTATATAAAAGTCTTTTATTTTGCATTCAAAGTAGTACTGTACATTTTAAAGAATCTAATTTTTTGACATTGGATTAAGTCTACTGTATTGTTGGACTGAAAGTATATACTATTAAGCAGTCATAATAATTATTGGTACCAATAAAGGGAGATAATTGTAGTTTAGACAGAAAAGTTATGGTTCTTGAATTATTCAATTAAATTTCAATTATTGTTACCTTACATCTGAGAAATAAATATACAAGATGAAAATAACATTGTTCTTTTCTGCAGCTTTATTAAAGAAATTACTTGGGGGAAATTACTTAAATTCCCTTGGGAGGTAGAAATAAAATCAGATAAATAATTAGTTATGTATTTTCTGCCGTGATATATAATGCAATAGCAAAGTGGAACTAAAATACAAAATGTAAATAGTACTGGGAAAACAAAAGTTAATTGACATTTTAAGTTTTAACACATAAATCTTGTAGATTAAAGTATAAATTGAATTTGTAGATCTAGAATATGTGAATATTAACAGAAATGAAATATGTAGATTAAAATATAATTATTTTGAGGCACAATTTTACATATAAAGCTGAAAATTATATGATATTCTTTTATTTCTATGAGGTAAGTTTTGAATGTAATCTTGTATTTCCCCATAAAAAATTTTTTTTTCATAAAAAAGCTCAAGGTTTTTTTATTGAGCATTCAAGATGTATATAGTTAAACGATTTTGTGTATTAGAGTGATTTTGTGTTTTAGAATGAATTATTTTAAATATTTTAAGAAAATTGATCGTCATTTTAATACTTTGCATGCACATAAAGTATTTAAGTGACATAAATAAATATTTAGTATATATAGCATATTAAAAATTGTTTTCTTATGTTTAAATTAGTATTATAATATTACTCAATACGGACTTATCCCCCTTGCAGCAATAGATTTGACAAGTGCAGACCAAGATTAACAGGCACATACATGCCTTCTGCTGATTGTCTGCACTGTTTGCTTTTTGGTCTGTATTTCGTTATTTTGAAATTTCCCCAAAAAATGATGAATGGTTTTTGTCTAGATTTAAAGACAGATGAGAGCCATTTCAGATATTTAGGGCAGAAAGGGTTCTAAGATTATAAAATTTATATATTTAAACTACGTTATACACATTATAAGTATCATTTAAATGAAACATTAAATATTTTAATGTTTTATATAAGCATTTAACTAAAGTGATAGTACCATGTTTAAATTTCATATTCTTTTTATCAATATCTAATTTTATTTACCTAATTAATTATGTGTCAATGAGCCAGTCTATATTCTAATGATTGGAATCAAATTCAGACATGGAACAAAGGGTATGACTATAATACACAACAGAGATTTTTTTGGTGCTACGGGCCAATATATATCTCATTCTAATAATTATAAATGTTTGACATTTGCTTTTATTTATGGTGAGAAAAAATACTTTGCAATATTGCAGTACTGCACATCTAATTTGAGTGCATATATAAAATATGAAAAAGAAATATAAATAATTTTTTCTGTGTATAATCATGAAAATGTTTGTAAATGAACAGACTTTCACCATGGTTTTCAGGCTTGTGGGAATTAGAGAGAAATTGGAAAGTATTAGTAAAGATGTTGCACCCAGATTGACTTTATCATTTTGAGCATCCTGATTAGTCCCTTATGATATAACAATCAAGTATAATATTAAATACTGTAAAATTGTCATATTTTATAAGCAATTGTTTTCGAGGTTTTTGAGACCATCTTTGATGCTAAATAAAGGGGCTATATTCTATCTCCCCTGGTGCCTTAGTCACTGAATTAGTAAAGTACTTATATATGGTTTTATATTTTAATTTGTATTTCTCAGTTACCACTGGAGGTGTTTGTTCAAAACTCCTTGCACTTCTCTGAGATCATTCCTGAAGGACTGGTCTCCTGCCAAAGAACCTTAACTCTTGTAGTGATATTCACAGAATAATGTTCCTTTATAAAGTTAAAAAATTCTCAAGTTTTCATTTAAAGTAGCACGCCTCCAGATTCAAGTTAAATTTCATGAGAATTTTGATATTGTATTTGACAGTAAAATATTGTGAGGTGAACAAATAAAGTTATTTACATATTGCAATTGGCACTTACATTCCATGCAAATAACCAAAAAGAGGTCAAAATGTGCAAAAAAGCCCTTACTGCGTTTAAGTAACACAGTAGAAAATATGGTGATAAAATACTGCAAAATCAGTCTTAAATCGCAAATAACATGTAAACTTCAACATTGATCTTGATTGTTTTTACCTTTCCTGAAAAAGTACATAATCTCAATTTTCATTTTCTTGAAATATTTTGGCTCATCTGGAGGCGTGCAGCTTTAAGTTTCATCATCATGGTGTCATTATCCTGAAATTATGATGCTAATATTAAATATGCTTATTACCTCCCCCGGACAGGAAAACTATCAAGCTTAATTTTGTTGAAGGTTGGTGGTTCTACTGAGATACCCACTTTTGCATGAAATAATGAATGAAAGGGCAAAGATATTGGGGAAGAAATTCTAGTAATGTCATCTTGTTAACATCATTTTGCAGTCAAAACAAGTTTTTTAGAGAATTATAAGAATCACAGGTGTAAGCTGGTTTGCATATGTCTCATCTTTTTAATTACAACTTTTATTATTAGAATTCAGTATAACCAGTCTGGCTGGATGTGTGCTATTGATCTCTTTCTGTTGTTGGAATTTTGAGATCGTTGTTTCAATTTTATTTCTGCTATTTTGAGATCATTGTTTCAATTTTATTTCTGCTATTTTGAGATCATTAATTCAATTTTATTTATAGAATTTTGAGATTGTTGTTACAATTTTATTTCTGCTATTTTGAGATCATTGTTTCAATTTTATTTCTGGTATTTTAAGATCATAATTTCAATTCTATTGATGATATTTTGAGATCATTGTTTTAATTCTGTTGAGATCATCAATTGTGTTTCTGAAATATTTGAGATCATCTTTTCTATTTCTGATATTTTTGAGATCATCAATAAATGTATTTCTGATATTTTTTAGATCATCAATTGTATTTCTGATATTTTTTAGATCATCAATTGTATTTCGGATATTTTTTAGATCTCTATTTCTGATATTTTTGAGATCATCAATTGTATTTCTGATATTTTTTAGATCATCAATTGTATTTCTGATATTTTTTAGATCTCTATTTCTGATATTTTTGAGATCATCAATTGTATTTCTGATATTTTTTAGATCATCAATTGTATTTCTGATATTTTTTAGACCGTCAATTCTATTTCTGATATTTTTGAGATCATCAATTGTATTTCTGATATTTTTTAGATCATCAATTGTATTTCTGATATTTTTTAGACCGTCAATTCTATTTCTGAAATTTTTGAAATCATCAATTGTATTTCTGATATTTTTTAGATCATCAATTGTATTTCTGATATTTTTTAGACCGTCAATTCTATTTCTGATATTTTTTAGATCATCAATTGTATTTCTGATATCTTTTAGATCATCAATTCTATTTCTGATATTTTTGAGATCATCAATTCTATTTCTGATATTTTTGAGATCATCAATTGTATTTCTGATATTTTTGAGATCATCAATTGTATTTCTGATATTTTTGAGATCATCAATTGTATTTCTGATATTTTTTAGATCATTAATCGAATTATATTTGTACTTTAACTTTATAAGACTTGCTTTGGGGACTAAATAATCTGTGTGCACCAGATTAGTTGCTTTTATGTGAGTTTTTCAAAAGAACCATACTGTAGTAACTGTTCATATTTGTGAACCAATTTTGTTCTCATGTAATAATGTCAGGTATTTTGAGATAATTTATTCAATTCTACTTAAGCCTTATAAGTGCAGTAAGTTCTTAAACTTTATAAAAGTACATATGAAAGCCATTGCTTTTGGGAATACATGACTTGATTGTACTGTCTTTTACAAGTAATGCTTGTGGGCAGATTTGATTTAACACTATAAATTTCCCTTTATACCCATAAAGGGTCTTTAGGGATTTCTACCATTTTGAGAAGTTGAAACGTTTTCATTCAATTCCATTACTTGTATCTGCTTCATTGTGCAAAATTCAAAGTTTTTTTTCCGTTTTTTTTTTTAACCTTTATTATGTGTTTCATTAGGCATCTTGAAACATTTTGCTTCAGTTTTTTTTTTCAACAGCATGTTTCTGACTGGCATGATTGTTGCAGATTATGGCAGTGGCCCATTATAAAATTTTTCAAGAAATAATTGACTCTAAAAAAATGTGTTTTACTTCAGACAAGATTGTTTTTACGCCATTGTCAGATTTAATCATAATTAAGACACTTCAATAGTAGGTATAAGGTATAGGAAAATTATGTACCCATGTTGCAGAAACAATAGAATCAGCTGGTAGAGACTTCTGTGAACTGCAGGGAACCAGGCATTTGTTCCCACCATGTGTTGTGTGGGAGGCGGGGCTTAAGAAGATAACATGAAGGTATGATTATGCTGAGTCCAGGGCCTAAATGTAAAGCGCACATATTGTAATGATTACATGAATGCTTGGTACAACATATAATAATTGTTCTCTGTAATTGAATGACAATAATCATTTGAGGGGATTTGTATAAGAGATGTGCAGAGTTCTACATACTTTCATGTGTCAGTAACTACAGCTGTTCTCAGAGAGGAAAGGTATATTGCTGAAGAACCAGGGTGATTTAAGAAAGTGTATTATTAACACACTTCTCATACTGTGGTGGGGAGAAAAGATTGGTGTCTCTGCTAATTTACTGATTATGGTTCAGATCATGACTTGTGATCAGCAAGCCTAGTTGACTTGGAGGTCTACTTTTGTCTCATTTTGCCTGTTATCTCAGATTGATACACTCTGATAGTGAGAAGATTATTGGACTTAATGGTCGCAAAGTCCAATAACAGTCTTAGTGTCAACAAAGGATTTACACAACTTAGTTTAGTTTTCTACCAGTACCTCCATTTGACTGTGAAACTACAACTGCTTTTATAGATATTTTTTTTTATGTTTCTGCAGATAGGAAAAAGAAAGTAAAAGAATAAGTTATTAAAAATATTGTAAAAGACAGTTTGGTGTTGAAACTAAAAGAAAATGAGTGAAAGTGTTTAAACAGTGGATGTTAGACATTTATCTAAAGCAAATCATACATATTTACATATTATAAAAAAAGTGGAATTCATCTTCTATATCCAGGTAATTACAAAGTTTACATTGTATTTTCAAATTTCTGGAATTTATAATATGTACATGTACTTCATTTCAGTAAGTGGTTCATTGATTTTTAATGCCTCAATGGGATTAAAGATGATACTAAAGAAATAATGCTTTTAACCAAGAAATTATATTCTCTTTATGGATTGTTGTTCAAACAATAAAATAGATACTTAGCTGTTTTATTAATAGCTCACATACTTTGAATATAGCATCTACAAAATGTAGGGGTTGAAAAAAATATATCTGATCTAAATGGACAGATTTATTTTTACAAATTGTCAATACAAAATAAAAAAAGAGAGATTATTTCATGATACAAATTTAATGGAGGGGAGAAAAAATGTTCATATTTGATAAGAAAATATGTTAAATGAAAGAAATTAATGGCAAATGAAAGTACACTTATGTATAGATTATCAATACATTTTTTTGTGCTGCAACATTTTTTAGCAATTTCAAAAAAATGCTTATTTAATTAATAAATCAAATTGTTTTGCACTAACAACATAAAAAATAAAGTCCAAAACATATGCATGATTATTATTATTTTTTTTTTTTAAATGCAATTATGTGAAAATGCCAATTAAATGGGGAAAAAAGCTTTCAGAAAATGGCGAATTTATTGTTAAATTCTGAGATATAATTGTCTAAAGGAATCGCAATATTAATATACTATGCAGAGAATAAATGAGAAAGTAAAATTATATTGCAAATTGTTATTTGACTATTTTATTGTGAAGATATGTTTATGTTCTCATTTATTTCCTCAGTAATATCTGTTTTAGTGTTACAAAGGTGAAGGGGCAGTAAATCTGAGAGGCCAATTTATATAATGGTGCCATGAAGAGTTAATTACCCCAAATCTTACAAACATGAAAAATTGAAAAAAAATAAAAAGATATGTTTACTGTTATTCTGAAGATTGTTTTGTAGTTTAAGTCAAATGCTGCATAATGTTAGTACATAAATAATGATGATATTATTTAGTGTTTAAAGCAGCATGCCTCCAGATACCTGCTAATTTTTCATGAAAATTGTTGAAAATGTTTTAAAAAGTAATCTATTGTGAAGTGAACAACACATTTCAAACGGCACTTTTTTGTTTGTAACCCATGTAAATTGTAACCATAAAGAGGTGAAAATTTTTTTTTAATGAAGGTGTCGTGTCAATGGATATGTTTTTCAAGATTAATGAATTACATAATTTCAATAGATCAACTTTATTCCATTATTTTGGGTCACCCGGTGTAAGAACAAATTGAATTAATTAACAACATTCAAAATTTATACTATATATACATGTATATGGGTAGGGATGAAAAAAAGAAAGAAAGATTTTGAAAATCTAAAGAAAATAAATGTTTTTGTTATGTTAATTATGGAATGGAAGTGTTTATAAATCTATACAAGAATATATACAAATGTATATAAGATTAAAATTTAAGCTTCAAATACTATATATTATATATATATTATATATCCTAGTTAATCAGCAAAACATCATAATTTTCTTGTAGAATTATTTGTGATGTTTGCTGAGAATATTATCATGTTTGACAGTGTTGCAGTATATATCATCCTTAAAACAGTAATGCAGGCAAGTTGTTCCCACCTGGGAGGGGAATCTCTCGTCAAATTCGACACATTTTACATCCATTTTGCAGGCAGAAATTAGATTTTAACCAGATTTTTACAACCTTTTTCTCTCCTGTTAAATGATTTATTGCCGTGATGTAAAACCAGTGTTTTGCATTGTTGTATTGCCGGTTTGATAATGAATGAAGTGCATGATGGGAAACAGCGAAAACGTAAGATTATATACCTATTTTACTGATAGTTTCTGTTAATAAATTTTACGGATTGTTTCGAATTATTAACGATTAGTTGAAATGTGACGAGAGTGTAAATATCGTAAGCAATAATCTTAATGAACCGCAGATGCTGCAAACTTTAGTAGAATTACACGAGGGTTCTTGATGGTTCATGCTGCTCAAACATGCTAAATGATTCTGAAATGTTTTCTGACTTCGGCATTAAGACATTGCATTGCAGATGGATTTTAAAAAAATATCATTTTGCGCGCAATGATTACGAAGTGCTGAGTTAAAGCCTTTTACATTGATAAGCTTGATTTGTTTTCCGAGGTATAAAGCTTAATTTGATCATTGATGGCATAAGCTTAAAATTTACATGAGCTTTGATGATAATGAACATTATAGATGTGAACTATCGTATTTTTTTCTGGTTTGGTTTGGTTTCACTTTTAGTTACGCATTCAAGGCCATTTAATTGGCCGCTAGAGAAAGACCTATAACAGAAATACCACAGGCCCCTGGTGTGTATCTGAATAGAACAATGAAATACAGACCACTCTGTAAGTCAGTTAGATGATAATTTAAGGTCCCAGAATTTCATGTCCGGGGCAGGGATTAGAATCCACATTCAGGAAGGTTAATTATGATTTGAAGACATCAAAGGTAAAACCAGGGGCCCACTGAAGATTCCCGGACGATTCCCCTTCCATATTATTTACACAACCCGGACATTTCCCCTCCCGTTATTTTAATAGGGCGGACTTTTCCCCTCCCGTTAATTTAGCAGAGCGGACAATTCCCCTCCCATTTTTTAGCAGAGCGGACAATTCCCCTCCCGTTTTTTCACATTGCGTAAAAAAAAATCTATAACCATTCTTATTAAAGATGACAGTTTTTACTCTTAACAATAAACTGTTAAAGATCGGAACTTTTAACAATCATTATTTCACAAAAGTGACATTATACCGCCTTTAATCATTGCCGCCGCTGCTTAAGATAAACAAACTGTCAATAAAAAATCTTTAATCATTGCCGCCCTTAATTAAATGTGTCCTTGATTGCAAAACCAATTAAAAATGAAGGAGAATATTCCGACAAATGTGTTCAATCATATATAAAATCAAAATGATCACTGATATTTTGTGTTAGGACTTCATGTACTGATTCAATATGGTGAATATGATTTTCTAATCATAATGACGATGATGACAGTTCAATTTACTATAACATGTGCATAATATATTCTTTGCAAGAATCTACAGCTTAATTGTTTTTTTGTTCTTATCAATTGTTCTTTTATTGTTTTGCCGCTGCAAAAATGTATATACCTTTCAAATAAACAATATTATATAATAATTATATATATTCAATAGCCACGGGAGGGAAATTGTCCGATCTGACAACAGCGGGAGGGGAATTGTCCGGGTTGTTAAAAGAACGGAAGGGGAATTGTCCGGGTTGATAAAAGAACGGGAGGGGAATTGTCCGCCGTAAAAAAATAACGGGAGGGGAAATGTCCGGGTTGTGAAAAAACATTCAAATTTACTGGGAGGGGAATCGTCCGGGAGGGGAATTGTCCGGATACCCCCACTGAAACCCCTGAAATTCTCAATGTAAACTATATTGAGAAGAAACATTAACTATTATAAGCATGTACTGCATGACTACTGTTAATAATTTTTTTTATCTTTTAACTTAAAATGACAAATTGGGTTAATACTCATGTCATATCAAAGATAGATAACTATTGTGGGACAATCAAGAGATAGCACTTATCAATTATAATGGTCAATGTACAAAGGTTAGGGAGCTAAATACTTCTGAATGACTATAATAATCACATGGAGATAAGATAAGACCCTTCAAATAAACACTTAGACTGCTTTCTAGAGGCCATATTTGTGTAAAATTTTAATTTTATAACATAATACTGAGAGGATTTAGATCGGGCACCGATATCACCAGCTTCTTGAGACTTAAACATGCTGGTTCCCGTTCTTTTAACTGTCGTCTGCTGCAATATTTGAGAATTGAACATTCTAGTGTTTTATGCATTATAGTGAAAAAAGTTCAAATTGTTACATGTAAGAATTTAAAGTAACAGAAAAGAGATTATAGATAGAAGAAAATATAAATTTGTCTAGATTCACAGGTTAGTACTACTTTCTGAAATTAGCAAATTGGTTTAATTTTTAAAATTCATGTATATTTATGAATTATCATGTTATACTAGTTAAAGTAAACATTGTAAAGTAAATATGCGTATATATTCAGACCTAAATATAGATTTAATTGCGAAATGAACAAATTTCAGTTAAAGTGATCTTAAATTTAAATACCTTTTTTTATACTGATCAAGCTATTTAATGGTGTGCATTTGATTTAATTAAACTTTCATTCCATTTATATAGTTTAAATTTGCTTTCAAAAATGTGTTATTGCTATTTTTAGTGTCAGAGATGCTATTTATAGTGTTCAAGATATTTTTAGTATCATTCAGTCCTACATTTAATTTTGATGTACAATTATGTATGTATGCCATCTAAAATATTATTTTATTACAACAAAATTTAATTTATTGTTTTCTACTAAATTCCTTAAACTTGCGTTAAAGCATTCCATTACCATTGTCTCATCAGGCATTCCATATCTGGTGTCAATTATTCTTGAGGCACAATGTCTGTAGATATTGCATGGCCAGGTTGAGCCAGCCTATGTGGTGGACAAAACAGAGATGGCAATGACATAATCGCAAGGCCTGTTAATTGGGGGTTATTATTGACACAAGTTCTTGTATATTGGGGTTGACACATGCCTAAGCAAGGTCATTTAAAGCTGCTGGAAACTGCAGGGGATTGCGAAACAGCTGTGCTTCATTCAGTAATATCTACATAGGGGAAAAAATATTTTATTTTTAGATTTGTTTTTATCTTGTGATGACTCTCATCTAGGAATGATGGTGTTACAGTGTTAAGGTATGACATTATTGTGTTAAATTTTTTTGTTGTATATGAAACTTTAACAGCTTGTTTCAAGACTATATTTAGAATGAATTGAACCTCAGATGGCCAATCATGACTGGAAATAGAATGTATTGGAAATTTATGAAACTGGGGTTGATATTTCGCTTATAATAATCTTTTAGTGGTTGTTCTTGAAAACGGT